CAGGGCCTCCCCACCCTCCCAGCCAGGAATTCCTTCCCAATATCCCATCTACCCCTCTGCTCTGGCAGTGGGAAGCCATTCCCTTGTGCTGCCCCCTGGGAACACCCACCTGGTTTGGCCCTGTCTGTCTCCAGGATCACACAGACCCTCTGGAACAGGCCCTGCAGGCGCTGCAGGCGCTGGCTCAGTCTGTTCCTGTTCCCAGGGCCCTGCAATTCCGACTGGAAGGTCCTTTCCACGGCCAGGCGGGTGCTGACGATGTAGTCGGAGGTGCCCAGGGAACAGACCTGCACGTGGAGCCCGTGCACTGCCCGCAGGGAGGAGATCACCTCTGCCCCACAGCTGATCTCCCTGCTGTCTGCCAGGATGCTCAGGGAAGGGCCCTTCCCCGGAGGGTGCCGGCAGAGCCCGGTTGAGGCCGAGGAGGGCTCTGTGGCTGCAGGACACGCTGGATCTGAGGCGCTCCCACGGGGGTTCTTCCCACAGCTCTTCACCTGTGAGGGCTGGAGATCACACAGGGACTGTAACAGACCACGGGGGGGTTCAGTCAAACTAATAAAGGGATGCTTTGCAGTATTAACACTTTCAGAGTGACACTTTCATCCCCTGTATCCCCCTCCCAAACGAGCTGATCTGATTATCCAGGAGTCAGAACGACAAAAGCAGCAGCTTTCACCAATGATTTGAGCAGAAGCTGGACCATGTACAGGACAGAAGTCAGGCTGGGAAGTGTGAGAGATGAGGAATCCAACCTCAGGCTGGAGGGAGTTAACTGAGGATGGTGAACAAGTATTTTATAAGCACAAACCCCAGAGAATGGGTGGACACTGCTGTTCCACACAGATCCATGCTCCTCCATGGCTGTCAGTCCCAAGAGACCATCTAATGCCCAGTGTTTATTTACTGACTGCTGAGATACTCCAGGATACCCTGGGAGTACAAAAGCTGCAAGAGCAAAGGGAAGGGAGATGGTGTGAAGCAGCAGCAGGAATGGCTCTGCTCCTGTGTCACCAGAAGCTGTGGCTGCCCCTGGATCCCTGGAAGTGTCCAAGGTCAGGCTGGACAGGGCTTGGAGCAACCTGGGCTAGTGGAAGGTGTCCCTGCCCATGGCAGGGGTGGAATGAGATCATAGAATCATAGAATCAGCTGGGTTGGAAGGGACCTCTGAGATCATCAAGTCCAACCCTTTTAAGGTCCTTCCCACCCAAACCCTTCCAGGTTTCCCTGACTCCTGCTGCTGTGCTGTGACAGCCCCCAGAACAGCCCTGCCCCAGGAATCCCTTCCCAGCACATGGGGTGAGAGGAAGGTCCCTGCTGTGACTGGACACTGACCTCACTGGGAGCCTGGACAGAGCCAGGGGCAGCTGGTGGGAAGGATGTGCTCCTGCTGGGATGGTCTGGGTGCAAATCCAGCCTCTCGCAGCCTGAAGCCCGCAGGCCAAGCAGCATGTCCCTGTCGTGCCCCCCAGGCCGAGGGGCTGGCACTGCCCTGGCACCGTGGCTGTGCTGTGCAGGGGGCACTGAGGGCTGGGGGCACTCTGTGCTCCCCTGTCCTGCCCTGGAACAGCCTGCTGCCATGGACTGCTCCCTGCTGACAGCCGTCTCCTCCTCGCTGGAGTCACTGAGGACAACGATCCGGGATGGTTTCCTCCTGTGCCCCGGGGCAGGCGGGCTCTGCTCCAGCCCGGCCTGGTTCAGTCTCCTCCTGCGCCGGGTCAGGTACCGGCCGGGGACACTGTCCCTGGTGAGGAGACCCCAGTCCACACACTCCTCCTCCTCCTCCTCGCTGGGCCCACTCTGTCTGCAGGCTTCCTCCTCCTCATCCCCCACACAGAAACTGTCCTCCACGTACTCCGCATCCTGCTCGGGAATCTGGGGGAAAAACAATCCCAGTCAGCTGTGGAGCAGTGGAATGATGGTGCTGCTGCTCCCCACAGAGGCACCTGGCTCATCCAACCCTGGTGTAGGGACAGCAGGGGCTGAGGGGCTTCTCACACATGGAATGGTTTGGGTGGGAAGGGAACTTAAAGCCCATCCAGTCCCACCCCTGCCATGGGCAGGGACACCTTCCACT